AACAGAAGTCTGGTGTGTGTGTGTGTGTGTGTGTGTGTGTGTGTGTGTGTGTGAGAGAGAGAGTGCTGTACAGATCAGTAGCTACTTTATTCCTCAGCAGTTGCTTGAAGTTTATAAGGGATTCATTCGTCATAACTTGGAGTAACTGCTCTCATATCTGGGGTGGCTCTTCTTCTGTCCAACTGTTAGATAGGGTGGAATCAAAGGCATTTCGTCTTAACTCTCCTCCTTTAGTTGAAAATCTTTCTTCCCTTTCTCTTTGCCACAATGTTCCTTCACTCTCTCTTTTACAGGTACTTTAACGGGCAATGTTCGGTGGATTTGGCATCCTGTGTACCGCCGACAAGGACGTGGGCTCATAACACTCATCTTGCCCGCGGTGCCCACCGTTTCTCTGTGGATGTCGGTCACACTAGAATAAAACGTTATAGAACATCCTTCTTTCCTCACACAGCCAAACTGTGGAATGCTCTGCCTTCTTCTGTGTTTCCATACTCTTACAATCTGTCTCACTTCAAAAAGTTGGTTTTCCGGCATCTTCTTGGTGTAGATTAAGTCTTTTTCTCTTATATTTGTTTTCTTTTTTTCTTTTTACTCTTATTTTTTCGCCCCCGAGGCCCAGTTGAGGGTCGATGACCTGTGGCCGGGTGGGCTATTCCCCGTAGAAAATAAAAAAAATAAAAATTACCTTAAAATCTACCAATCTTACGACAGTGAAAGTCAATCTATCTGTACTGGGAAATAAATATATAATGGTATCATCTTTTATAGTGCAAAATATATATATTTTTCAGGTAACTACATGGACGAGGGAAAGTGTGGCAGACCTTCAACATGCTCATTGTTATACTCATAAAGTGAGAGAGAGGTAAGGAGAATTATTATGCTACAGCGGTTTGTTCCCCATGATCTATGCTAGGAGCGAGTCACTCAACCCACCACTGCCACCAAGTCAGTGAGTCACGCCCTAATGCTGCCACCAAGTCAGTGAGTCACGCCCTAATGCTGCCACCAAGTCAGTGAGTCACACCCTATCACTATCACCAAGTCAGTGAGTCACACCCTATCACTGTCACCAAGTCAGTGAGTCACACCCTAATGCTGCCACCAAGTCAGTAAGTCACACCCTATCACTGTCACCAAGTCAGTGAGTCACACCCTATCACTGTCACCAAGTCAGTGAGTCACACACCTATCACATCACCAAGTCAGTGGTCACACCCCTCCGCATCACCAGAGTCAGTGAGTAACACCCCCCTACTGCTGCAAATTGATGGTCACACCCTAATGTTGCCACCAAGTCCAGTGAGTCACACCCCTATCCCACTGCCACCAGGTCAGTGATCACACCCCTAATGTTGCCACCAGAGTCAGTGGTCACACCCCTATCACTGTCACCAAGTCAGTGAGTCACACCTAATGCTGCCACCAAGTCAGTGAGTCACCTAATGCTGCCACCAGAGTCAGTGAGTCACGCCCTAATGCTGCCCACCAGGTCAGTGGTCACACCCTATCACTGTCACACCAAGTCAGTGGTCACCCTATCACTGTCACCAGGTCATTGGTGCACACCTATCACTGTCACCAAGTCAGTGGTCACACCCCTATCACTGTCACCAAGTCAGTGGTGCACCTATCCTGTCACCAAGTCAGTGAGTCCACCTATCACTGTCACCAAGTCAGTAGGTCACACCTAATGCTGCCACCAAGTCAGTGGTCACACCCTAATGTTGCCCACAAGTCAGTGGTCACACCCTATCACTGTCACCAAGTCAGTAGGTCACACCTAATGCTGCCTGCCAAGTCAGTGGTCACACCCTAATGCCACCAGAGTCCATTGGTCACACCCATGCCCACCAGGTCAGTGAGTCACTATCACTGTCACCCAGAGTCATTGGGTCACCTATCATTGTCACCAAGTCAGTGAGTCACACCCTATCACTGTCACCAAGTCAGTGAGTCACACCCTATCACTGTCACCAAGTCAGTGAGTCACACCCTATCACTGTCACCAAGTCAGTGAGTCACACCCTATCACTGTCACCAAGTCAGTGAGTCACACCCTATCACTGTCACCAAGTCAGTGTGGGCGGCCGTACAAGAGGCCGCCAAGGGGAGGAGCAGTAGAAGTCTTTGTGCTGCACCATCTCTCAACACTCTTTGATCCGGCCGTCTTATTATTACCCTGATGGAGCCTCTTATGTACTCTCCCCCTCCCCTGGGTCAACCATCACCTCTCCCCACACATACTCTCCTTTTTTTTATGTAAGCCTTCTCCTTGTCTTCCTCTTTGTTCCTCTTATCACTATTCTCTTTATATACTTCATCAGTGGTTCCTCCTGTTCATCCCTGACTTTCCTTCCCCAATTCCTTCCTCTCTTGCTCTTCCCATTCTCCGACAGTCTTTCTTTGCCCCTTGGCACTGTTCTCTTTTATATTCTCCCCCTCCATCTCCCTTCACACCCTTCTCTCTGTCTTATTCCTCTCCACAACTCTATCACACACACTCGCTCTCCCCTTACTGCTTCCTGCTCCCTCGAATTAATATAAATATAAAGACATACACGTGTGTGTGTGCTAAAATGAAACGTAAAGTAAAACTCTTCATGCATGCAAAATGAAAAGTTAATGATTTTGTATGAAAATTTAGCACTACAAACTTTCCCTCATCATATGGTATGATGCTCATAGACACTACAGTACAGCACAGCACAAAACAGCATCCTCGGGCAGACGAAGTATAAGTACAGTTGCCCCCACATGAACGTACCACGACCTGGGAATGTGTGAAGGCACAGGTAAGAGACGTGGCAAGCAGCACCGTGGATTGCCCTGTTTGACGGTTCCCCTTAGTTCAGTCCTAGTCACTCCACAACACTGCTGCATATCATAAACATATTAAACATCCATGTGATAAGTATTCTTCAGGATTGAGGTGTGGCCACGCAAACAGTGTAATTTTCTACTTCAAATCCAGTCTTTCAACCATAACTACAGCACTAGGTTGCCACATCTTGTACCTTGCCTTCACATACTCTCAGGTTGTGGTACGTTCATGTGTAGGTAACTGTACAACAAACAAACAACACGGTTAATACCACCACAACTTTCACTAACCAGTTCATTAACCCCTTCTGGCTTTAATAATGTAATTGTACCCAAAACAAAAATGACGCGACACTCATCAAAACGGAATTTCGAAGTTGCAAGGAGCAGCCAAACACCCAAGGGAGTTTAATCTGTAAGTTTACCATAAATCCTGGAACCTCTCGCACAATGAGGACTCCGCTGCAGCTACTGTGCGAAAGAACACAGTTGGCAAGGCTTGAATCTCGGTGAAAGGGATTAATACACTTGTTGTTTATGAAGAAACTCCGTGCCTGGGATTAACATTGTTCCAGAGGCCGAGTGGGGAGGCCAATGTTATTACTGTGCTGCGAAATTACATAGTAAGTTTATTCCGAATTATTTATATTTATACAATGATGACAAGAGTGAGTGAGTGAGTGAGTGACTGTGTTAAACATAGAAGAATATGCGTCTATGCGTAAATGCTAATGAACATGCGTGAGTGAGCGTTATACCCTACAGATGAATTTCATCACCTACTTGGAAAAGACTCAGCCTTCTCAACCAATGACTCACTGCACAACCTCACTCACCACCCCACCCACCCCTCACAGCCACGCTCTAACACGCCCGCTCACAAACGTAGGAAATAATTCACCCACCCGAACGTTTAAAGTAGTGCTGAGGATACTACTGCAAACATCATTGAGAGAAAGTAGTGTTTTCTTACTAGGTAGAGACACGACGACTGAGTGGATGCAGCGCTCGACTCCTATCCTGAAATCACTGGTTCGAGCACGGAGTATTCCCATCCCACTCCAATTGGTGCCCAACTTTTCAGATGTGGTAGAAAAGGCGGTCGAGTGCAATGCCGGCTATATCGTATCAGAGGCATAGTATAGTAGCAGTGGTGTGTGGTGGTGGTGGTGTGTGGTGGTGGTGTGAGGTGGTGGTGTGTGGTGTTGGTGTGAGGTGGTGGTGAGGTGGTGGTGGTGGTGAGGTGGTGGTGGTGGTTGTAATGGTGTGTTCTCGTAGTATTGGTGTGTGGTGCATTTCCTCACACACACTACACCCCCACACACACTACACCCCCACACACACACTACACCCCCACACACACACTACACCCCCAACACACACAGGAGCTATTGGTGAGTGTGGAGCCCCTGGCCAGTACTACAGACCTGGCGTGCGCTACCCCCTCACTCACGCTCCCAAGGACCCTCTCGTCCACTCCTCAAGAACTATCTCAGCCAACCGTGGGAGGAGCCTGGGGTGGGTGGATGGCGTGGGGGAGTATAGCAGGGAGGGGGGAGAAACCGGGGGTGGTTGGATGGTATGGGAGTGTGAGGGCATGTGGTGGGTGGGTGAGCCGCCAGACCTACCCATGTTGATATGGTTTACTACCCTGACGGTAGTTTGGGTGGTGCTGTAGTTTGCCAGGTGTTGGACAATATAACTATACAACTGATACAACATAAGTAGGCTTTATACATATACACCTAACTGAACACACTCCAGGTGGTTGGGAGAGAACGGGAGGAACTGGGGAGTGTGAGCCTACACCCAGGCCGGCCCTACATGCAGGCCGGCCCTACACCCAATCTCTATAGTGACTACCTTAGGCAGCACCTCCATTGTCAACTCACACCCCTCCTCCTCTCCATCCTCCTTCTCTTCCCCCATAACTAACAAATAAATACCTCAACGTTTATAAGAGTTCCCCATGTATATCTCTTTGTACACAGATATATGTGTGTACAAAGAGATATACATACATAATGTGTACACACACACACACACACGCTGTAACAAGTCTATTTTGCTAAAAAATTTTTTTTAAAGAGCCAACGAGAAAGACGTGTTTTATTAGGTAGACAGGAAGGACAGGCAGGACTCTTTGTTGGCGACGAAGGGTAGGTTGAACTTACGGCCTCAGTGTGGATGGGGTGAACGGCGAACAGCAGTGAGGCCACGAAGCTCGACAGCTCCGGCAGGAACATACTGCACATCCTGCAACATCAAAATCAACAGTAAATACAACATGATCGCAACGTTGGTTAATACACACAACATTCAACATCAATTCATCAAGGCAACATTATTTTATAGCGACATTAAGACCAGTTCTACCACACAAATATCACAGGTTAATGCAACACTGAACAATTCTGCAACAGAGTTTTAATTCTATACAATGCTCAATTCTGCAACGCTTTAATCTATCATCCCTGACAAGCTATATTATATGTTGAAACAGTAACGATTTATGTATCAATAAATATATAAGCCGCTAATATTTTATTCTAAGTATGTAACTTTACCCAACGCACGCTATCACCACCCACCACACTCTCCCTTTAATCACCCAGCACGCTATCACCACCACCCACACTCTCCCTTGTAATCCTTGCCACTATCACACCACCGCCACTCTCCAACACCATCTTAACCTGCACTATCACCACCACCCACACTCTCAACACACAATCACCAGCATACTATCACCCTACCACTCCTCAACACCGTCACCCAACTTTGCGCTATCCACCCACCACCACACTCCCTCCGCACCGTCCCCAGCACACTATCTACCACCACTCTCAACACCGTCACCATTTTCTCCACCCACCACCACACTCTCCAGCACCGTCACCCAACACGCCTATCACCACCACCTCCTCAACACCGTCCCCAGCACACACTATCACCACCCACCACACTCCTTCCGTCCCCAACACACCTCCACCACCACCCACTCTCTCCAACACCGTCCCCCAACACTATCACCTGCCACGCACTCTCCAGTAGATTTCCTAACACAATGCACACCACCCACACCACTAACCTCCCACCACCCCCACCACCTGCCTCACCACCCACCACCCCCACACCACTAACCTCCCACCACCCCCACCACCACTAACCTCCACCCACCACACCACCCCCCCACCACCCACTAACCTCCACCACCCCACCACCACTAACCTCCACCACCACATGTCCACCATCAACCTTGCCCTCCCCCACCCATCGCCTTCCCCACACAACAAAATTCAAGGTTAAAAAAAAAGTAAAAAAATAAATCCCAGAATCTTGTGAATTAAAGGGATTACAATTTCGTGACTCCTCGATCATATTCTAAATTCAGAATAAAAGTCATCCTGAGCTTATAATCCTCTCTATGTTGAAAAGGCAACTCGCTCTGTTAAAATATTCATATTCTTTTACGAAGCTTTAGTTTAAAAGCCTATCTATAATAAATGACTCGTATCAATTAACTTTGTGATTTTTTTTGCGGGGGGTATGTGATTTTTTATTTATTTATTTATTTTGAAATTGTTGTTTGTAAAATTTTCATAATGCGAGAATATTATATATATATATATTTTTTGTGGGTTGGTTTATTTGACCTATATAACTGAAGAACTAGAATTTTTATTTATATAATTGAAGAACAAGGCCAACCTAAACCAATAATAATTGAATAACATTATAACAAGTCTTCCTACCCATTACAAGTGAAGAACAACAAGACCTTTTATCAAACAACTGAAAAACATTAACAATACCAATGTAATCAAAGAACAGCATAACATAACCTAAATCTACCTGAACAAACGCAGAACACGATAACAACACCTAACAAATAATAAATGATGATCAATGCAGAACACAATAATAGCAAGACCTAACAATAACAAAAGATGAACAAAAGCGAGGTATTGACCCCCCCCCCCTCCCCCTCCCACCAGAACCATCCATGCTACTACGGCTGCCATGAAGGACAAATCGACTTATCAAATCCATTACAAACCTCAATGCTAAAATACAAACAAACTTGTACCTCGATGTGACGATACAGAGTTGGCAGCATTACGGACGGGGGTAAGTGGGAGCCTTGAGGGACGCTGTGACGGGGGTAAGTGGGAGCCTTGAGGGACGCTGTGACGGGGGTAAGTGGGAGCCTTGAGGGACGCTGTGACGGGGGTAAGTGGGAGCCTTGAGAGACGCTGTGACGGGGGTAAGTGGGAGCCTTGAGAGACGCTGTGACGGGGGTAAGTGGGAGCCTTGAGAGACGCTGTGACGGGGGTAAGTGACAGCCTTGAGGGACGCTGTGAATGACCAATAGATAATTATATATGCATCAATGAGACGAACAATGATCCTTAATGACAACAATTAGATTATATTTCTGAAGATTTTTAATTAATCAAGGTTTATTTAGTAATAAGTTAATAAATAATAAATATACTGGTGATAATAATACGAATATTTTTATTGGATGATTCACTCGCTGGTAGAGAACCGCTTATAATTATTTGTGATACAAGTATATTACTGTATTATTGGTGGGTTGTGTAATTTCAGTAATATTTTTATTGATATCTCTCTCTCTCTCTCTCTCTCTCTCTCTCTCTCTCTCTCTCTCTCTCTCTCTCTCTCTCTCTCATTCTCGCGTTTATTGTCTCATAAATAAGGGTTATATTAGCGAAACTCCAGGGTTACCAGCAAGGGAATCACCTCACCTCACCTCCAGAAGGAAAGACGAAATAAGACGCATGAGATATAGTGTGCGACGCCCTCCCTAAAAAAAAAAATAAAAGATAAATTAAATAATCCGATTACCTACGTCCAATACGGAATTACTCGCGTGTTAAGCCGATGTTACACCTGTGCCGACACCTGCACCATGACACCTGTACCATGACCTTACCTCCTGTGGCATTACCTGACCCTGACATCCTGGTACCAAAACCTGAACCAGAGAGAGAGAGAGAGAGAGAGAGAGAGAGAGAGAGAGAGAGAGAGAGAGTGTGTGTGTGTGTGTGTGTGTGTGTGTGTACAACCATATTAATAAAAACAAAAGTAAAAAACAAAAAAACAAACAATCCCTCAAACGTCAAAAATAAATATCAGTCAGATCAACAAGAGACGAACAACAGACGAAACAAAAGCAAACAAATACAAAAGACGAATAAAAATAACAATACAAAATAAAATCACCACCAAAAAGGCACAGCAACGACAAAGGAATAATTAAACTGGACGAAACTAACAGAAAAAAAAATCACCCGGGTATGGTGCTTCACTTTAGCAATACGGAGTCAACTATATTTAAATAGAATCAGGATTAGGGAGCCACCAGCAACCATTCTATTAGATTAAACCAAGCGAGGGAGCCAGCCAGCCCCGACCACCAACACCACCCCTCCACTACAATGTTCTACCTCCCACAGGTATATATACTGTATATATATGGCCTTTCCACAGGTGTATATAGATGTATATGACCCTCTAACAGATGTATATGACCCGTTCACAGGTGTGTACAGATGTTTATGACCCTCCAACAGGTATAAAAGGTCTCTCACAAGTGTTAAATAGCTATACTTAGCCCTTCCACAAGTGTAAGTGTACATGGCCCTCCAACAAGTGTAAGTAGGTGTACATGGACCTTACAACGATGTATGTGAAGAGAGATGCGGGAAAGGAAGAAGATACACGAGAAGGGCGCAAACACTTATTGGGAGGGAAAGGGAGGAGAGAAGAGCAGTACTGGAAGATGAGGGGAGGGAGGAAGGGGAGGAAGGAGGAGGAAGGAGGGAGGAAGAAGGAGAGGAAGGAGAGGGGAGGAAGGAGAGAGGAGGGGGGGAGGAAGGAGGAAGGAGGAAGGAGGGGATGAATGCATAGAAGGAGGTGAGAAGGAATGAAAGGGAGGAAGAGAGAATAGGAGGGATGGGGGAGGGAGGGGGGAGGAGAGAGGGAGGGAGGAGGGAGGGGGAGGATGGGAGGGAGGGAGGAGTCTCTTTTCATTAGCATAGGTTCTTCCTCTCCCTGGCTTGTATAATTAAAGGCGTTCGGTATCCTAATTGGAATATTTTAAAGGCATTCTCAATGTAAATAGCCAGAATCTGCCAACTTGACTGTGAAAACAAAAAAGTCCCGCATTACCGCCCATTTTTTCGGGAAGGGGAGGCCTTTTTCTTTTCCTTTTTTTTTTACCCAGCGAAAATTTTCTCTTCATTCGCAAATTTCTTTTCCGGAGGTTTGAAAAGGTAGCCTTTTTTATTTTCTCTTCTTGCTAATTCTTGTAATTAATTAAGTTCGTGTTAGTCCACTTTATACGCAAGTTTTTGATGAGGAATTTTATAATATTTTTTCCTATTTATTCTCTTACATTTACTATATAGTTTCCTTCGTTTTATTGCTTTTAACGCCAAGTATTTTATTTTATTTATTTTCGTGTTATTTCATTTGTACTACATGACTTTTTTTTTTCTTTGGTTATTTTTGCTTTTCTGTCTTATGCGATATTTTTAATTTCTTTGACGGGATTTTTTCTTCATTATGGTAGATTTTATAATTTTCTGTGAATCAGTATTTTCTTTTCTAATAAACACAGATTTTTGGCGTCATAACTACCCTCCTCCTCTTCTTCCTCCTCCTCGTCTCTCTAACTCTTGACTGAAAATGTTCCAAATCTTGACTGAAAATGTTCCAAATCTTGACTGAAAATGTTCCAAATCTTGACTGAAAATGTTCCAAATCTTGACTGAAAATGTTCCAACTCTTGACTGAAAATGTTCCAACTCTTGATTAAAACTATTTTAACTCTTGACTGAAAATGTTCCAACTCTTGACTGAAAATGTTCCAACTCTTGACTGAAAATGTTCCAAATCTTGACTGAAAATGTTCCAACTCTTGACTGAAAATGTTCCAACTCTTGACTGAAAATGTTCCAACTCTTGACTGAAAATGTTCCAAATCTTGACTGAAAATGTTCCAAATCTTGACTGAAAATGTTCCAAATCTTGACTGAAAATGTTCCAACTCTTAACTGAAAATATTCCAACTCTTGATTAAAACTATTTTAACTCTTGACTGAAAATGTTCCAACTCTTGACTGAAAATGTTCCAACTCTTGACTGAAAATATTCCAACAAGCTCCAGCAATACAAAACCATTTTAACGTAAATACTTCCCTCTGACCTTTGTAACTTAGCAGAAAAAATCTTAGTTTTTCACGAGTTTCCCCTCCTTCCCTCCCTCTCTCCCGCTCTCTCTATTGGCAGTCTTCCCTCCCTCCCTCTCTCCCTCCCGACCTCCTCTCTCCTTCGGCACCCTTCCCTCTCTCCCTCCCTCTCTCTATTGGCAGCCTTCCCTCCCTTCCTCCTCTCTCCCTCTACAGCAGTCCCTCCCTCCCGACCTCCTCTCTCCTTCGGCACCCTTCCCTCTCTTCTCCCTCTCTCTATTGGCAGGCAGCCTTCCCTCCCTCCCTCCCGACCTCCTCTCTCCCTCAGCAGCCGTCCCTCCCTCCTCCTAAACCCTCCACTCACTCACTCTCTCCCGGGTATTCCCCAGCACAACACGACTGTAAATATCACATCGTCGTTTCATAAGCCATTCTTCACTCCAACGCTGCCTGAATACTCAAATATTCCTACGTTCACTTTCCTTCCTTCCCTCCCTCCCTCCTTGTCTCCCTACTTCCCTTGGCAGTAGGTCCCTTCCTAAAGTTGTTTGTGATATTAAAAGAAATGTGATAACTGCAAAGGAGAACATCTTTCGTATTGAATTTGTGTGGATTCCGTCCCATGTTGGAATTAGGAGTCATAACCGTGTTGATAGACTGGCCAATGAGGCATGTAAGAACGGAAATGTTGTCCAATATTGTAGTTAAAAACATACAAGTCAAAATCATGAACTCTGATCTAGAAGAACTGAGAAATGCACAGAGACCTGACAGTTGCAGCATTACTAAATATGACAAATGTTGTGACAAGAGGTACCGGTATGGCTAGCACAAGGACAGAACCAGACAATGTGATGTAGTCGTGGCCAGAATTAGGCTATGGTACAGACACATCGGGCAAGTTAGTAACGCTGTACCCATACCGGAACACTCAGCATGTAAACTTTGTGATAAACCTCTAAAGCATAACATTTGAACATAACATTATTGAATGTGGGAGTGTCAAAGACTTCAGGCCACCTGGTTTATTGTATCATGAACTATGTAATGACTACAGTACATTGAATCAAGACCCCTTGAGTACATTCTGTCAGTCTATCCTAAATTTGCTAGTCCACACTAATTAGTCCTAAAATAGAATATGACTTCTACTGTCTCTGAACAACTGTCCTGCGTGGCAGTGAACAGTGATATCACCCACATGACCTATATATACTGTTAATGAATATGATCTATTTCTTTGTGTACGAACCTCTGTCCTGCGTGGCAGTGAACAGTGATAACACCCTCAGTGTTAAGACCTGACTGAATTACTCAGAATAGGAAAATTATACTTCAAGCTTTGTCAATAAAGTTGTTAAATTAAAAAAAAATCCCTACTTCCCTCCCTCCCTGCCTCCCTCTGACTTTAGACAAACAAATAACCCGCAGACTAGAACCTCGATATGATGTCAAGTTACATTAAGTGACTATCCTGATGTTGTCTTTAGTCAAATTTCTTGTCAAGGAAGATATAGTGACTTATGAAGACACACACACATACATACACACAAATCTCTCTCTCTCTCTCTCTCTCTCTCTCTCTCTCTCTCTCTTGTTAGTCCTCTAAACATTAGTGGTTCTCAACGCTGATTCTCCTATTCATATTTTCCAATTACTTCAGTTTTCATTTACTGTCGATTACCGAAGGAGGAGACGAGAGTAAGAGATAATACAAGTCTCTATTCAATCTCCCCCAGTCTCTCCATCTCCCCCAGTCTCTCCATCTCCCCCAGTCTCTCCATCTCCCCCAGTCTCTCCATCTCCCCCAGTCTCTCCATCTCCCCCAGTCTCCATCTCCCCAGCCCTCCACCTCCCCAGTCTTCCACTCCCAGTCTCTCTCCACCTCCCCAGTCTCTCCATCTCCCAGTCTCCATCAGTCTCCATCTCCCCAAAGGCCCTCCATCTCCCAGTCTCCATCTCCCCCAGCAGTTCTCCATCTCCCAGTCTCCACCTCCCCCCAGTCTCTCCATCTCCCAGTCTCTCCACTCCCCCAGTCTTCCACCTCCCCGGTCTCTCCACCCTGGCTTCCACCTCCCAGTCTCTAATTCTCCCCAGTCTCTCCACCCCCAGTCTCTCCTCCGCCTCTCCACTTCATC